TGTTAGCTGTCCTTTTCAGTGCTGGTTGTGCTCTGGAGCAATGAACAGCTTTGAAATTCAGCACAGCATCCATCAAAACCCGGGGCATTCAGAATGCTTCCCTCCTTCCTCTGTTCTGTTGGGTGTGTACAACACCAGCAAGTCACATTTCTTCCACACTAGATGCCAGCATAAAGTGCAAACTGGTGTGGTGCTACCATCCAATCTGCCCATCCTGACAGAGTCAGTACCAAGAGGGCTGTTTAGACCTTTCTCGAGGTGTGAAAGCATGAAAAATTTGTGAACAACTGCAAACCCACATCAGTCTGATTCTGTTGTGACAAGCTGTAAAGTTTGCCACTGAGTATATTGCAGCAACTTCACACTGGCCCAGATCTGGCCTTCCTGGGACATTACAGTCTAGTCGTGCCACAGCTATTCAGACAGGTCCTAATAACCTAAAGATTGTGGAGTGCCATTATAAAAAATGCTCACATGAACTGCTGTGAACATGAATTAGTTTGAATTAGGATTGCTAAAGCATAAGTAAACTGGAAACACCCACTTGTGAATTCTGGTCCAAAGACAGGATTCTGATATGGGAAGATGTTTAAGGGACATGGGAATAATAGTGGGAAGGTGGAGGATGCCAAAGCCTGTGATACACTCAAATCCAACTTATGGGCTTGTGTTGTCCTGTAAAGGGCCTCAATGCAGCACCTGCTTGTCCAGCAGTTCAAAGGGGAGCTCAAGGCTCGTTTGCTTCCCAGTGTCCCCTGCATTTTAAGGAAGAGCTCGTCTGCCTATTGTTTGCTCACATGTATGGGGTACATATAAATATCTCAGACAGGTCCTACTTGATCCTTCAGTGTTTTTGGTAGCTATGTGGGTTTTTTTCATAAAGCTACATAAATAAACTTCATCCAGTAGCTATTGTGGTACAGGTGTTTCAGGACTTGAAGAGGAAGTAGCTTCCAGACAACAGCCCAGAATAAATAAGATAAATTTCTTGCTTGTAGAGAACAGATTTCAAGAGTCAAAGAGTGGCTGAGCTCTCATTTGGCTTTCCTGTGCCTTTTGTTGTCTCTTAATCCATTGCTATTAAATGGGACTAAGAGTAGGACTATGACCATGCAGACAGAATTAATGCTCAGAGTCAGTTTAGGAAGTCTGTGGCTATTAGCTTGATCAAATTATACTTTGAAAATGGGTTAATAAATCTAGAGGAGAAGGAAGGAGGGAATGGTCTTCTGAATTATTCATCATTTGTTTCCCTGTTGACAGGTTTACACAGACATGAAGTGCAGGTGGGAGTATAAGGAGGGGGTGATTTATTAATTACATATGAATTGCAACAGACCTTACTTTCCCTCTTGCATCTAGATCTGCTTTTACAGCTTAGCTTTTATCTACAGCTGGACAGATTCTTTTTGTCTTCAGCTGAAGAAATTCTGAACAATCCAGTCCATCAAAATTCAAATTCAGTTTATTTTTCACACATAACATCAGTTGTCTTAGCTGATACTTTAACTGTTCTCAATAATGGAAGGACTGAGGAGGAAATTTTCATATACCACATTCTAGAGAGCAAGTGTACAAGGAACCAACTTTCCATTGTATTTTTCTTTGATATTTGTGCCCCCAGAATTAACATGGGGAATCAAAGACTGCTCTTGTTCATGCTGGAACTTCACAACCTTCTGATGATGGTAAATATTTCAGAGGGCTTTATGGGGCTAGGCTTTTGGCAGATGGAATGTATAACATGCAGTTCCTTTTTGTGAACAAATGTGAAATCTGTGTCAGGAAAACTCACTAAAAGTAATATCTTCCCCAATCCACAAGTATTTGGATCATTTTTACTTAACATTCTGTGTAGTCTTTTTTTGAGTCCACTGAGTCCAAGCAGACTCTTCACCATCTCTAGGTTTATTTTTCTATTAAAATGTTAACAATTGAGTTGACAGCTCATGTACCAAGAAAATACCCCTTTTCAGATATATCTACATGTGAATTTTTAGTCACACATGTCATTGTACAACTGCACATGTTTTCGCAGGGCACATGAATAAACAGGACTGTGAACAAACTTTCTGTCCATACCAGAACTGTGTAGATACACCACAAAGATACATCTTCTTTGAAAAGAAGTGCAGTCATTCCACAGTCTCACCCAACTTGCCACCTGACCTGTAGCAAATAATGTGACTTGTAGCATTACCTGTCAGCAGAGGAGTTGTCTGCATCTGTCCTGAGCTGCTCCCTGCTTAAATCTACAGCTGTGTGTCTGCACTTCCATGGGATCTTACCTCATAAGCAATTACCACATTAGTGACTGCAGGGTAAGGACTTATTTCTGTTCCTAGTGAAGACAAGGCAAACAACTCAGTTGTCATTAATGCTGACAGTTAAATGGATGTGTGACTTCACATAATTTTTGGGTTTCAAACATTTTTTATTTCTTTTTCAAGTAATTTAAAAAAAGGTCCTTTGGGAAGCTCAAGTTTGATCCTCTACTGAGTGATGTTGTTTGCAAAATTATGTTTTATTCTGCAGCCCTGTGAGGATACGAAAATAAATGTTTATGTTTACATATTCTGACACAGAGAAGAAACATATTCTACATATCAACCCTTTCTGCTTAATACTTAAAGGCTTGTTAATGCAGAAAATTCATGGATGTGGATGGAAATCATGCGGATGAGAATACCCTAGCATTAATCCTGTGGAATTTCTGTGGTTTGGGGAGTTACACCACACACCTGACTGAACACCCTGGAAGATTTAGGATGGTGTTTGCTGACTGTAGGCTTTACTCTGGCCCCACAGTCCCACCCACGAGGCCCGGTGATGCACGGTCCTTTTGCTGCTCGTTCAGAACAACAGGTGGCTGCTGCCCCCGCAGGCAGGGAGTGGAGGAGGTGAGGAATGTACTCCATACTCATGTTTGTGTCCAGTGCCTAAGATGGGAGTAAAGATGGGGGCAAACTGTTCAAGTACTGCTTACACAGACTGACAGGAGATCTTCTTGCACAGACACCCCCTGTGGCCAGCAGCTATTTTGAAATAGTGGCACCACTCGAGCCTGTTTCTGCATGTGAGCTGGTCTTTCAGATCCACAGGTGGGAATAGTACAGAGCAGTCAATGACTCACCATTGATGCCTGCTCAGCTGGTGCTTAGAAAAAATCCAGGAGCCGTTAGTTGGGGTGAGATAAGGAAAGGATTTAATTGTGCCAAGGCAAATAGATGGTAAAAAACGCGCCCACCGGGCTGTGCCCGGGATGTTACATTTATAACAATATCTGGCCAATCCCAAGTGTGTCCACCCTATAACTTTTGGCCTGGTCCACTCCCTGGTCCACCTCCTGGAATTGGGTCTGGGGGCTTTTTGGGACCCCCTCTTCATCATCCTTCATCATCTTCGGGGTACAGAGAGCAGAGTCACCCAGTTCTTTGACTCTGTCCTGCGGTTTAGGCCAAGATACAAGCGTTCCCCAAACAAGACAGGCTTACCTTGACAAGAGACTAAACATTTTCTACTGGATACAGGAATAGGGTTGATATGGGGGGTATGGAATGGAGTAAGAGGATTAAGGAATGTATAAACTAAGGGGTACTACGGGGAGAGGGAGAAAGGGGTTGTTTCTAAAATCTACTTCTATTACCTATAAAACTTATAAGGCTTACAAAATTAGAAAAATAAAAAACCATTAGGGTTTAAGGCATCATCATTGATAGAGTATGCCTCTTTTATTTTTGTAAACCCATTTTCTATAGCAGAGGGACAAGTGGGAAGGAAACAGACTGCTGGAGGGAGGGGTTTGGATGTGGGACCTGCAGTTGTCCAAGATCCAGTTTTTTCTCAGAGACATCCCTCGGATCTGGGACGTTACAAATGAGAATGAAAAGGGGGAAAGGCATTCTTCTGTTTTTTAGTGGGAAAGGTTTTGAAATTTCCTGGCATTGTACAGACAAATGAGGCACTCTGAGTGCCACTTGGTGTGTAGAAGTGTCAAGTGGGACAGATACTTTGTGTGAAATGAAGCTATAGAAAGGAAAACTTGTCATTTTTTTATTAGAAGATATGGTACCTTCCATAACAGTATTTTATAGCAATACAGTCTGCCCAAAGATGGTATCTGGTATAATGTAATGATATATAAAGTGATTGCTCATTTATTTACAGTATATTTACTGAATAAGTTTTAAAATGTAAGACTCTTCTGAATTAACATTCTTTAGTATGAAGGAAAGAAGCTCAGTCTTGACACCTACCTTGGGAGGCATTTTGGCTGAGATCAGAGCAATCAGAATTTGGGTTCTGGCTCAGATTCTGATAATTTCATTTTCCATTAGTAGGTCTGAGATTTTATGTCAATAAAAGTTGTCTGTTCTGCAGCCTCTTGGATACAAGGCTTTTCTACAGGTAGTTGTGCTGGAAGGCTAATGTGATTTAGTTGCTGATTTAGTATATTAGAACATTTATGGTCTAGGGAAGTTGTAGCTTTTGAATGGCATATCAAGAAAATGGAAGAGTTTTAGATGGCAAGTCAGATGTTGAGGCTGGGCTAGGCTGCCTTATGATGGCTCAATGAATGACACATACCAAGCCAACTTGATCTGCATAGATTTTTGTTAAATTTAAATGTCACTCACTAACTCGGTATCCGTCTGTCTTCGTTGGATTAATATCCAGATCATCACAAAGAATTTTGCCTCTTGTACAGTTCTGAGAGTAGCACTCCTCGAGGAGCCAACCTTCAGGTGGTGTGTGAAGGCACCATTCTGCCCAGTATTGTCCCCATGGCAGAAAATTGGAGGGCAGCCTGCCTCCTGCCATTTTTGCAGGGAAACACAGTCAAGCATGGCCTGGGGAGATACTGCTGGGAGTGTGTTGTTTGTTGAATTCCCTTACACAGTCACTGTTCTAGTTCATTGTTCAAGGCCAGGCTGGATGGGGCTCAGAGCCACCTGGTCTAGTGGAAGGTGTCCCTGCTCATGGCAGAGGGTGGCACAAGATGAGCTTTAAGGTCCCTTCTAACCCAAACCATTCAGTGATTCTATGATTCACAGATTAAACCGATTTATGTGGAGATTAATGGAGTATAAAGAGACTTATTCAATATAAGGAAGCAAATTTTAAATAGTTTCATACTACATACATCAGTCAGAAATAACACTAGTCCTGCCCAAGGACCAAGTGTGTCCAGTATGGATGTTACTTGTCATTCTGCTCCCCCACACACAGAGTCAGCTGTAAAAGCCATATTCCCAGTCCAGACAGCTCACCAGGTGCACACCTCTGAAGGTAAACAAAGAACCTGTTGTACACAAAGCATTTGAGAAACACATTTGTGTTACTATCACAAGTCCACGTGACAGTCAGTGTCTTCCTTAATTTTACACTGGTTTTTGTGTCAAGTGTTTACACTTTCCAAGCCCTTGGAGAGAGAAGAATTAGCAAATAAGTGTATATACATGTGGAAAGCATCCAGGGGGTTTTATTGCTGAACTAAAATTAGATTGTAATAAAGAGGATAAGCTGTGTAAAATTTCTGCCCTTTAGAGATGTAGCTGAAACAATGTCGCTCAAGTTTTTTCTGTAAGAAGAAGTGGTGCTCCCAGGACCACTGGGATATCCCATATACCATCAAATATCCCATATCTGATGCCATCTTTCCCATATACAGAAGCAAAGCCTATCTCTCTCGACATCATTCATAGGTAAGAAGACTGGGTCAGATTGTTGCTTCATAAATGTAAGTAAACATTTCTTTCCTCCAGGAAATTCCACCAGGATATTTGAATCCAATCCTATATTTTAGTGCTCAGTGAGTTTACTTTCCATTTGCATATTCCCTCTTAGTCTATGTCCAGAGTTGTTCACATTATTCATTATTGCAGTGCCAGGCCCTGGCATTTCCTCAGTGTTATTTGGAGGAAAACAAATGAAAGAGCTTTGGAAGAACTGGTCTGTCTTTTGAGGAAGAAAACCCAATATGGATCTGAAACAACATGTTATTATGAACTTGAGTCTGTTATGAGAGTGATGTCCATTTGACTCCAAAACATTACATTGCATTTTAATTACTGAGTGTTACTGGGGAAGCTGAAAGGCATAAACATGTTTGTATTCAGCTCAGTTAATGTGATGAAGGATAAAGGAAGAGGTAGTGTCTTAACATTTTTTCTCTCCTGCTGCTCATTTCCTGCTGATGCTTTCTTTTTACTTTAAACCTTGCTTACATTTTGGCTTTATTTTCTTTCCTCTTTTAAAGTTCTGTTTCTTTTTGATATCTAGCATGCAACTATTCACTGTATGGCTTTTAGTGTCAAAAAGCAGTAGTTTCAGCAGGTGATGAGACATTTGTTTACTTCCAAAACTCCATTGTGTAATTGCCATTCCAGTGGGAAAAAAAGCAATTTAAAGTTTTCCTTCTTGAATGGGAGAAATGCCTGAGAATATTCAAGCCACTGATAATTTCTGTGTGTGCCCTGTGGGTTCTTCCCACTTACACAACTCAACTTTGTTGATTCAACTCCTTTCACAAGATATTTAAGAGCAGAGAGAGGTGTCAGCAAATCCAGGCTCCAGGACACATTCTGCTATATGTCTCTCTGGGTTTTTGGCTGTTATAATTGTGGTCTTCATGATTTCTGCAAGGTTTTTAGAGCGATATGACTCTTTCCTGACAGCAGCAGGTTTCTGTAATGTAAATTTTATTGAGGGTGTTGCACACACGTTAGCTGTAGTGTTAACAGCCAGCCAGCCTGAGAGTCATGACACTTTCCAGATGCTCTGTGCTGCTAGTGATGGTTGTGCAAGAAGTTGCAGGGCTCAATAGGCAGCCACAGATTCTTTCCACCACGTTTTGCTGAACAAAACACGTTTCACAAGCACAGAACCCTCCTCCTTGCTTTGGGGTCTCTATGTGGTTGGAATCCTGCTGTGCATTTCCACATCTGTGAACTGCTGAGCGTTCTCAGTGCCCTCTGGAGACACGGCGAGTGGGGAAACAACGTGCTTCAGGCGCAGGAGCATGGAGAAAAGCAAGATGAGGAGGATAGCCAGGAGTGTCAGGAACAATCCCACGTACACATAGAGGCCGGAATATTTATCTGCTGTTGTGTCTACTTGGGTAGCCAGAGTTGGAAGGTGGACACGGCCAGTCAGGTTTCCACGGAATTTTAAATAGGTCTCAGTCATTGCTCTCTGGGGCCTGGGGGTTGGTCAGCTTTGGTCCATTTTCCCTACATACCTTCGATTTCCTGTCTTCCCTCACCAGACCCACAAAGGATGTCAGGAGAGGCAACTTAGGACAGATGTCACAATGGCTTCAGCAAGAGGTGCTCTCTCCTCTTGCTGTCAAGGCTGCTGGTTCACGCTGCACGGGACAGGGCTTTGCAAATCATTTTGCAAGTTGCTGTCACAATGATAACAAGCATTAGACTCGTGTTCTACACTTCCCCCTGGCTTTTATTTTGTGCTAAAAATGTTTTGGTCCTTCTTTTGGTAGGTCAGCTTCTTTGGTAGGTGAAAAGCTTTGGTCCTTCTCTCAAACTGAGCTGCAAAGGTTTGCTCAGCTTTGGTGTTGTTTTCCAAACAAATTGCACAATGAGCTTTCCGCCACCTTCTCCCACAGCAGGTGGTTTATCCTTGTGTGAGCTGGGGAGGGTTGTTTTCTGCTTTGCCAGATTGCTGAGGGATGTCTTCTCTCCTAATCCTGGGCTAATGATCCTTGCTTAAAGAGCATGGAGTTTTGAGTTCCTCATTATGAACAGTCAAAAAGTCAGCTTTCTAAAATGAAAAAAAATGAGAGAGAGAGAAATGAAGCCAGGTACCAAAATAGCTTAGTCTGTATGTGGTATCTTTAGAACAAATAGATAAGAAAACCCTTGTCATGCTCCTGTGAGACATTGAAATCAGGAGAAACACTATTTAACTTTAGAACAAGATCATGCCAATCTAATTATTAAGGTCTCCTCTGGTAACACTCACGTTACTTACGGGTAAGAGAAGGCCCCACAGTCTGTGGAATTAGATGTCACAGAGAAAGGGAAGATACGAATCCAATCAGTGTTTTTCACTGTGTCTCATTTATTGTTTATCAGGAGCCTTTTTTTCTGGGGCCGGATGCACCTGGCAGGTATCCAGAGCCCTACCTATCCCACTGCAGCAACACTGCTGCAGGATATGACACTTCACTCACCTCTTGGCAGCAGAACTTACTAGAAATGGGAGGAATCTTAACATTTTAGCAATTTCAATTCTTATGGCTGGAAACAGAAAATAAAAATGCTGAAATTTCACTGTAAGTGGTGCATCCAAAAGCATCACGTTCTGTTCTCCTAAGAATCTTGGTTTTAGCTGAAACAAAAATGATAGCACTGAAACAAACTGATGCAGTAATTTAAAATGTTCACTACCTATACACCTACATGAGATGCAAGTAGAGTAATATTGACATAGTATTACACTATGCTAGTCAGATTAAAGTGAAACATTAGGTTAAAATGATAAAGGTTCTGACATTTAAATTTTCACCTTGAAGACATATTGCAAAACATTTTGACTTTCATGGGCCTTCCGTTTGTAAAATATAGCTGATTTATTGACAATGTTTGGTTATGTTCTCCCTATGCACCAATGGGAACAACCCCTTGCTGTTCTTCAGAGAGAGGTGGTTGAAATCTGGAGTCATCAAGGAGCTGATATGCAGGCTTTTATTACAAGCAAGACAGACCAGCTTTGGCTCATGTGATGGGGAAACATCTGATGAGCTGAGTTTTTGGAGAAGGGGTGTGGGGGCTGCTCTACACTTTAACTTCCAGCTCCCACAGTACCTTCTTTGGTACCAAAGCATCTGAGAGAACAGTGATCCCCTTTAGGGAATATTGGACCAGATCCTCCTTAGTAATAAGCTGGGCCAATTTGCTGATTGAAAAAACAGATTGGAGATTTGACTTTTGCAGCCCCTGCGTGCCTAGTGGATTCTGAGCTGTGCTGTGTGTAGGAGGGTGTGGGCAAAGCACAGCAGGAAAAGGTTGCTTAGTATTTCTCCAGGAGCTGACCCGAGCCCTGTGGAGCCAGTTATTCTGGCAGCAGGTTTCGTGCTGGTGCAGAGACATGGGGCATGAAGGTGAAGGCTGGGGGGCAGCCAGGCACTTTTGCTCTCAATTACAGGGCAGTAACTGTGGTTTTCACACTTCCAATCTATAAATGGAAATTCTTCCCCCATGAAGAATATTCTCATGCTGTACACCAGGTGGGAAATAGAGGGTGTGAAGGTAACTGGCTGACTTAGACCTCTGTCTTTATGATATGATTTCTCTATTGATAATGAAATGCAATCAGTCTGGAATCTGACACTTGTGTGAGGTAAAGTACAGAGCAATGCCTTTGCCCATCCCATCTGCTCTGTTACTGAAGGCAAAAGCCAGAGCTAGTTTCTCTCCTTAAGGAGCAGAGAGTCTAATGGCTTTACATGCTTCATAAAATTAGACTGCAGAATGCTAAGGACATTATTCTGAAGTTCAGTAATTTACTACAAACCAAGATGTTGAATTAGCAAAGCTCAGCTGGGCATTTATTGATGAAAGGAGCAGATTAATAGTAAGAAGTATTAGCAATGGGGAGTTGGCACAGTTTGGGTTTTTTTTTAATTGCAACTATAGATTTGTCAGGAGCAATCAACTATTCAGACTATTGAAAACTGTAAAATGAACTAATCTTTTCCAGAAATGAGCCAGAAATAATTCAGTAGCTCCAGACAACCCCAAAGATTTTTGCTTTTCAATCTACCAATTATCTCATTGGCACATTTCTTTGGATATCCAGTAGATTTAGTTTTGCACAACCCCTTTTAAGGAATAGAGTCTTGAAGACTGTAGAGACCAGAGTGATGTAAAAATAAGTGGTACAGAGTAATTCTGAAAAACTGTGTATGAAGCAGGTCAGCACTATAACTGTATGACTCAGATTATGGGAGGCAAAATCTCACTGGTTACCATGAGAAGCCCTCAAGTCCATGGACAGAGGAACTAAATGGAAGTTTGTTATACAGCAGAGCAGCATAACAAGAGCCCACATTCCCTCTGATCTCAGTTGTTCATCAAGATTTAATCATTCTCTGGCTGGACAGCACTCCAGTTCTGAGAGGGGCCGGGCACCATTAGTGATCGCTGGTGCTCAGTGGGTACACATTGATTCCAAGCAGACACTTCTTTTTATCAGTTTGTTGTTATTTTTAATTAGGGATTAAAAAAACCCAAACACGACATATTTAATTTAATAAAAATCTGCAATGAAAATAGAAGCCTCATACACAAGAACAGAAAGGTTTCTTCTCAGAGTGTGTCACTGAGACAGGAATTTCATCAGCCAAAACTTAATGGGTGCTGAATTTACCAGCCCCTCACTGCAGCTATCAGGGTGTGGGTAGCTTCAGGTTTGTGGAGTTTTTATGAACCCTCATGGCTGTACTCTGCATTCTTGTAGGTCACAGGGGAGCAGAGAGAAAGAAAGATTTTCCCCCAAAACAATGCAGACAGAGAGTACAAATTGATCCTGCAACTGCAGTAAATGTCCTGTCTTGCCCACTCGCTTCCTTCCACTCCCACATTGGGTGTAAGTGCCACTTGCCAGCACGGCACCTCTGAAAGTGCAGGCAGCTTTCTGGAGTTCTCTTTTGCTTTTCCACACAATACTCTGACTCTTACAAACAGGTAAGTGGGACAAAATAGAAAAATAGCTTGTGTAGCTTCCCCTTTCCCTTAATTTAAAGTGAACTGAACTGGCTGGCAAGTACAGAACAGTTTGGTTTTGAACACTCAGAACCAGGTGTGTTCTGTCCAGGTCACCTTTACAGAAAAATACCAGCACTGAAGAAATGCAAGCAAAACATCAAAAGTACCAATCCATCCACGGTTTGCATTTTTTCCAGGGAGGATCTGAGGGAGAGGAAAGTGGTGGGGGGGTAGAGTGGTATCTCTTCTTTTAGTGGTGGGCAGTATTTTTTGTTCTCATGCTGAAGTGAAGGCTATGAGAGTGTCTGAGCTGTGGCAGTGCATAGGGAGAGAAGGGAATAAAGCATAGTTACCTTTCAGAGCAGGCAGTGGTGTTGGGACAAGGCACGAGAGTCCGTGATTCAGACCAGGAGCTTGCTGGTGATTTATCTAGGAACATCCCACATTCCAGCTAGTGGGAATTGTGCAGCAAAGATTATCTGTCTTATAGCTGGAGTCAGGATAGTGCACTTCCTTCTCCTCTGCTCTTGAATTCACATGGCTTGCCGGCAGCAATGGCTCTTACTCCCTATCCTGGGATGTCAACAGAACAGCATCACTGCTGATGTCCTTCCTTCGCAGGCAACAGGAGAAGGGGCGAGGAGCCTTCACTCCAGGAGCTTCACTGCTCCGGTGGAAGCAGCCGGTCCCCTCCCTCAGCAGCGTTCGGCAGCGGGCAGAGAGGAGCCGATGAATAAAACTCCAGCGCTGCAGCAGGCGAGGAGGGAAGGGAGAGGGAGGCTGTGAGCTCAGCTCGCAGCAAAGTTTGTGCCAGGTTCGTCTTAACTCTTTCGTGCTTGCGAGTGGTGAACGAGGCAGGGCTGCCTGCTCACTGAGGAGCCCAGAGGATGGGTTAGCAGTTTCGCTCCTTTTCTGGAAGATGCAAAGGGTTTTTTGTTTTGTGCCTCTTGGGAAGGTTTGCCTGGTGAGGGCTCCCAGCTGGGTTCCTGTCTGGAACGTGGACAAGTGTCACTTTTCGGCTGGGGATAGTCCCCAAACATTGCTCTTTGGCGTTGGAGCTTTTGAGGTGTTCTTGTCCCTGTGCTTGCTGTTTGGTGGTTTGGGTGGTTTTGGTGGTTTGTGTTAAGTTCACAGGTCCTCTCTCCCCTGAGTAGTTTGAAACTTTGCATGAATAAGCACAAACCCAACTTTGCGGTGTTGTGGACAAAAAGTATTTTTGCTAATTTATGAATGTGTGAAGCACAAATCTACCTACAAGGCACCACAGAAATGAGGCAGAATGAGGTTTGGGTTCTCATGGTTGGGTGAGAACCCAAACCACACTGTTCCCTCCAATGGCCACACCTTTTCACCTGCGTTTCTTCACTCCCTGCAGCTGACAAAGTGAGGACTTTTGGTGATCCTGTTCCTGTTACTATACAAATTAGGATAAACTGTATCAACAAATCAACATAATTTTAGTTGTGTGCACGTTTCAGAAAGGAAATGGGGAATAAGATTTCCTTTGCTTTCTGCAGGGTGGTTCATTCTGCCGGGGACAGATGTTAGTTTGGATGGATTGCAGCAGTCCCGAGGTGTCACCAGCAGAGGAGGTGACCAGCACAGGGGTGCAGTAGCTGCAGTGTACAGTCCAAGCACTGAGCTCTGTACAGTTGTGAGCAGCTGTATTTCATGTCCCTGTGCCCAAGAAGGCAGATTGGCTGAAGGCACCTCACGGGGTGAACCTGACCCACAGGCCCACACTGGACAGTTGGCTTGTGGCAGTTCCCAGCTTGTCTTTCATGGCCTGTTTTTGGGGCACTTGGAAACTTCCCCTCTGAAAAGTGGGTCCCACCGGGGTTTCAGAAAGATGAGTTCATTTTCTCTCTGCAGCTTTCTCAGTGACAAAATAGAGACATTTAATCTCCAAACTGTCTCCTCAGAATAGCTTTCCCTCTCTGGTTCCTCAGGACCACAGCCTGAGCAGAGGGGCCAAAGGGTAATGAAACCCAGAGCTGCACAGCTCTTTCATCCTCTTGGGATGGAGGGCTGTGGTATAAATGCATCTCTCTAAGGGCTCATCATTCTCTGGAGTTCACAAACACAGTGTATTATTAATGTGGCACTATTTAGATAAATAAAACATAGTCCCTGGAAAAAACCCAATCCCTTTATGCTTCTGTGATGGGATGAACCCTCTGAAAACCAAGACTTAAAAGGCAGATTTGATTGCTGATGTTATCTCACATTTCTTTTGTTGTGATATCGGGTGCAATATCATATTTCCCCAATATTGCAGTGTATGCCACCATTCCCTGCTGGGCACATAGGAATGAAAGTACAATAATAAAAGAGTGCATTTCTCCCCCTGGAATTGGTACAGTTACTGCTTTACCAACAAACTACCTGACAGCACCTCAAAACCCTTTTACATGTCCTTGTATTTAAAAAGAAGCAAGTGAGAGCTCTGTTTGACCAGGAATTATGTTGCTGGATGAATTATGAGAACCAGAAGACACATGTTGAAGATGAGAGTGTTGAAAATGAGACCAGAAGAGATGCTGTTGAAATCCAGCATCTCTGCTTTCTATATAATGCTAATGAGCAGTGCTGAAGTGAAAGGCTCTCTCTCCCTGTCCATGCAATTCAGCTTCTCTGCTCATCTTTTTTCACCCTTTGTTCATTTTACAGTAAATTATCTTTCCCTTTTATAGGACCAAGCTGCTGCTTGCTGGATGGATACACTTAGATTTCTTGTTTCCTTTGTAGCAGGGTATAATAAAGACAGATGAATTTTAAATACTGCCACAATTTATACCAGCTGAGGCTGATGAATACTTGACTGAATGATTGCTGAATTCCTGAATTGTTGAGTAATATGTAATTTTTGGGACAATCAATGACAAATTTGTGCTACATAAAATGAGAGTGTACAAATTCCCTTGGAGATACTCAGAGATACGAACCCAGTGAATATAATTTTTTTAACCAACCATTAAGAATTTGGGGGCAACAGCCCTGGGAGCTTGTTGGGTTCTTTCCTTTGCATTATTTGACCTGTGTCTCAAGCTTTCTATCAGATCATTTTACACATCTTTCTCATGATGATCCCCCACAGGTCTTAGAGTGAAATTTGGATTTAACAAAAAGCAAACAAGATCTCTGAATGATTGATTGTGAGTATAATCTGTGTGTTTCTACAGGGATTCTTCTGCTATCCAAATTCATGAATCCTGTGAACATAGTAAATGCATACTTTGGGTCTTAGAAATTGCTTGCACAGCAACTGCAGTGAATGGAAAAATAGCTGTGCTCTCCTCTCCCCCCCATCCCTTTCAGAGGAGACACATCCTGCAATGGTTTCCTCAAGCCCTCAGTTCTAAAGACCTTCCATGATTTTGGGGCTGTTGGTGTGTGGGAGGGTCAGGGCTGAGCAGAAGTCTCGTTTTCTGATGCAGATGCTAAATATTGAACTCAAGAAAGAGCCCCAGCTTGGTGGGGAGAAGAGACAGCGGATGAGTTTTCGGTATTGGAGGCCACAAGGTCCAAGTCCTGAGGTGCCCAGCTGATATTATACATGTTACACAGGAAAAAACCTGCCTTTTACCTTTCCCTCTTCCCCAGCCCTGCCCTGGCCACCCACGGAGCTGCTTAGAGGCCCCTTGCTGCCATGAGGAGGGTTGGATAACTGGACCTGCCTGAGCTGTTTGCCTGGGGGAGTTGTGCTTCCAAAGCCCAGGATGGTTCCTAATCTCCACCCAGAACTGTGCAAGTGCTGGGAACAACATGGATAAGTCACTGTGGAAGAGCTGCTGAAACAAGGGCAACCCTTAGTGCTGTTTGTCTTGACAGAGACAGTGGTTGTAAATATGTTTTTGTTTTAACATTTTGACTTTATAGCCACAGCACTGAGTGGCAGATGATCTGTACCACAAACAGGTTTGTGAAACACATAAAAAAAGTCATATTTCAGTAGATTTTGAATCAGGAGTCTCTAATGAATGGACTTTGAAATATTTATTGCTCATTCAGATTTGTGTGAAATAGGTCCAGCTGCCACCAACCTTAAGGGAGAAATACCACAGTCAAGGGGATGGCAACCTTGAAAGCAAACAAAATTGCCTGGAGCTTGTTCCTTGCTTAGGCCACTGAGAGCCCCAACCAAATGTACTGACTTCTCCCTGTCTCATTTCTTTCTCATGAAAAGGGAAAAATTTTTAGTATCTCCCCCCTCCTAAACAATCTGTCAGTGCAAAGTGCTACCAAAGGCATGTGGTCATGTGCTCACTGCTGCAGCAACACCCAGGGCCTTTCCCTCTGTGCATTCCCACACAATCTTGTTTTGTCCAGCTCAGTGTGTCTGAAAATGCTCCTGTGTTTGGACTAAAAGAGTTTTGTTGCTTTGAAAAGCTCTTGGCTATTTTGACAATTTGGCTTTGTTTTGAACTTCCTTCATCAAAAACATGCTTCAGTTTATTTATAGAAACTTAGTCTCCCACAGATAACTGAAAAAATTCAGCCTAGTCTGATGTTACTGCTAATTTTTAGGAACATTTCTAATTTGATTTACTGTTGTCAGTGAAGGGCTGTATTGTTCTGCACAGAATTCTGTCTGAAACAATCCTGAGCTTCATTTTCATGAGTGAGCTTGTGGAGAAGCCATTGCATGTTCCCAAAATGGCATTAACACGACTCACAGAAGGGACTTGCAGTGCTCCAGGTAAGTCAATGAGTGTTAGCTCAGGTAGGGCCAGCTGGTACTGTGGATAACCCTTGGAGCAAGGGGTATCTAAAAAGCAGATTCCACCAGGATCCAAAGGACAAGTACGTGTCAGCCATGCTCATCAAGGTCCCACACAGGTCCTTGTGGACCTTGGCAAAAATTGGTTGAACAATGAGGCAGGGATTGAATTTAAAACACAGGATTTTAAACACGGGATTGTGTTCTCCAGCCCATGGGGTAGAATATTATTTTTTCTCATGAAGCAGTGCCTGTTTTGGGGGAGTTCAGCATGAATTATTAACCAAAGAGTTTCAGGTAATTCTGGAGATGATTTCAGATGTGCTGATCCTCTGGTTTTGGCTGGCCAGTTGCTAAGATACAACCTGAGGGATGCTCACATGAGTGAGCCACTATGGTTTAGTCACTTCAAATGAGTGCTTGTTTCTAACCCTCCCATCCAGCTTGTCTCCCTTCACCAGGGGATTGTGATGTGACTGATGAGGGTGCACAATAAATACCAACAACTGGGCCTCATTGTAGCAACAGGAAAGCAAAGCAGACTGGCTTCCAGGAGACCAGGTTGTTTCTCTGCATGACAGACAAATAATCCATGGAGACAACGCAGCATTTGTTGGGAATTGGGTCACCCATGGAACTTTTCTTCTTCCTATCTGCATGGCAGGACTGGTGTCCCAGGGGACACTTTGCATGGACCTCAGTATCAAAACCAACACCTGAGGGCTGTAAATGTATGAAATGTGCATGTTTTGTGGTTTGGTGCTATCTGCTTTCTTTTGAGACTCTTTTGAGGCCAAAAATGTACTTGTTCATTTTTCATTCCCACCTCATTTTCCCACTGTGGAAGGCATTGCCTTCAGTGTTACTTTGTCTTGGTCCGTGGGTCGGTGCCTGGGGCAGCCTCAAGGCATTGGGCACCCCTGTCACCACCAAGCCCATCTCAGCCCACCCAGAGCTGGGCCTGGCTGTGAGCAAAGAGCCCTGGACTCCCGTGGGCTCCTCACAGATTTCTGCCTGCAGGAACAGCTTGTAGGGCTAAGGCCTAGATGTGATTCCTGAAAGGTGCTTTTCACAGCGCAGATGATGTGAGGAAGGTCTCAGATACAGTCACACATGTTAAAACATGTGTCTTTCCTTCTGTTACAGTCAAAGGTACCACCTGAACTTGCCGGGCAGCACTTGTGACCACAATGTTGATGGGTAATTCCTGAGCAGAACTGTCCTGAAGCTGGAGTTCACTGATCTGCAGGGTGGCATTTTGGTCTGAGCTCAGCATTTATAGGCACAGGTATTGACTAACTCACTACTGGGGACCCATTAGGCATAATTTCCAGAATCTTTACAATATGAACAGATATTCCTTGGATTCTAACCAAATCCTCCCCTCCAGACTGTGAAGCTGAACAAACAGTGGGTAGAGCATGGGGAATGTGAGCTGCAAAACAATTAAACCCTTCTTTGCAGCTTCTGATGCCACATTATTTGCATGATCCACAGTTAACATATGGGCTTGTGCCTGTGTCGAGGGGGATCAGTTCTTCAATTGCTATCAGTAAATAACAATTACGACAATTTATACCAAAAGGAAAAAAAATTGGTGATGACCACATTACACCAATTTTTATTTATTTGGATTGTTTCAATTCCATTCTTAGAGAGGAAAATATCTTTTCTTGTTCTCATTTACAAAATATGAGCTCTGCTCACCCACACACTGTAACATTTCAGATATCAGCATGTCCATGCAGAATTGGATGAGCTCTTTCTAAACCTGTTTGGAGGAAACACGGTTGAAATCTTCACAGCAGAAGACTTAAAAACAGTACTAGATGCAATTTTGAGGAAACCATCTGTTTGGATGTATCTGTTCTATCCAGGGGAGCACAGCACAGGAATCCTGAGCTGCTGCCAGTTGTACTAAAAGACTTATCATAGTTTAAGCTAAAAAGAAAAAAAAAATCTCACAAGTGATATAAAAGCCCATGTTGTGGTACTAAAATGGCACTGAATTAAATCTTCCAAGGGTTCAGATTATGCTGCACCTGTGTGCATCAGAGCTCCTGAAACCTTCTTCAATGTGCCCTTGCTCAAGTGATGAGTCTGAAAGAGTGTGTGGAGTCAGTGTTGCTCAGCCCCCTTGCCTTTGGGTGGCTGTCTGTGGTTACTTGTACAACACAGGAAAATTCATCTTATGGTAAAGATGTGCCTGATGGCCTCTGTCTGCATGGGAATTGGGTCAGGGGGACATAGTGCTTCCTGGGATGCATGTCTGCATCACAGATGTGTTTGGGAATAGGACTTCATTTGATTTAACCTGTGGGTGGCCATGAGAACCCATTGGTGTTTGTCACTGAAATGGTCCAGAACATCAGAGAGAAAAATATCTACACTTTGTTCTTTTGCATCATAAAACAGCCATTCAGGTATTTCTCTTTAATCCACTTCCCAGGAGTGACCCTTCTCAACAGCAGGGATCCCTCTCTTGCCATGACTTCCTAAGCACTGCTCTGGCTTCTGCCCCAAAGCATTTGTGCTTTAATATCTGCCACTTACTGACACAAATCCCAGGCTTTGCCCTGGCCCTGTGCAATGGTATCCCAATTTATGCTACTGTAGCGAGGGAGCAGGAAGAGAGTCATGTCACATAAACCAATTTTGAAATCCTTTGTGATTCAGGGGATGTAAAAAACGCTACTCTTGTCACTTGTGTCAGATACAGTAACAGGAAACAACATAATCAGTGAATTCTGAGTAGATGGTTCTTGAGCTTCAGTTCCAAACTCAATCCCCAACTGGCACTTTGAGACTGCTGTAGAGGAGAGTGGACAGAATGAAAACATGAGAAGAACAACTGCATAGTGTCTGAGTTCCCATTTCATTTCACCAGAGGCTTCTTTATACAACAGCTTTTAGCATCTGCTGTTTTCATCCAAGAGCAGAAGACACGATGTCAGCCCAGGCAGAACTTCAGGCTGAGCTGTGGCAGCGGTTGCAACACATTTATGGTAAAGCCAGGGGTGTTTCCTTTTGATGCCTTTGTTTGTCTAACAGCAGTCACAAGGTCCCTCTTCCCCAGCCTCTGGGGTCACTAACAGAACAAGCTCACTGGCCAGTTCCACTTAATTATTGTTCTTTTCTGAGGAATCAAAGAATAAATGTCACTGTGTGACTTGTGCTTAACTAATGTGTGTGATTATTAATAGCCAGTTTTGGTCCCCCTTCCAGCCTATGTGCCACAAAATACATTTGCCTTTGGTCTCGAGAATCAAGTAGTCTGGGAAGCCACTGTTCTGTGAAGAGATGGGACAAAAAGCTTATTGAACAACCCTTCCTTTTGAACAGAAGACTGATCTCTCTTTTTATTTTTAGGCTGTTAATGACAAAAGTTGCTTTATTGCTTTACTTTTCACAGATGAAGACATGTTCTCAATTTGGACAAAGACCTCCACAGCCATAAGCTGCCCAGAGTGGTTACATTTTATTTAAGAGGTTTTAAATGTCTTTTGGTTCATTATAACCTTGAATTTGCATCTGGAGGAAGAGCCACACACTCTAAGAGAAATTCTTTTAATTTAGTGAGAAAAATAAGAAAAATAATTTTTGCAAAAGGTTTTACAGGAATAAAGTACAACCAAGAGAAGCATTCACTAAAACACCTAGCACAAAGACCCATTCCACAAAAAACACCCACTACAAACAATAATATACCAGCTTTAGTAAAACACAATTCATTGGTTTTAAGTTACCCCAAGAGAAGGAAAAGAGTAAAACAAAAAACAGATTAAAAGAGTAAAGAAAGAACGAAGGAAGAAAGAGAGAAGGAGAGAAAAAATAGTTACCAACAAGAGGAGAGGAAGAGAGAAAGCTCACAGGGAGTCTCTTGTAATTCTGGAATTCAGTTTTCCCTCCCAGGCAGGACATGTGGTCAGTGCCTTGCAGGCCAGAGGGAGGGGGGCTGGAGCCATCACAGGCTGCAGGGGTGTGGTGTGGGCAGGTCTGCCCGGGCTGACAGCCCGGCTGCACGGCCTTCAGTGCCACCCTGTGCTGTGCAGGGCCCTCAGTGCCACCCT